GTGCAAAAAGTGAGAACGAACCACATTCTCCTTGCGAAGGTGTGTCATCAAAATCATTGCTAGCTATCGTCACCATCATCAAATGTCTTTGCTACCTACCACCCCCAACCCGGCCGTTGTTGGGAACTTGCTGTGCTCMCCCTCCTTTTTTTTTTTTAATAGAAAATACAGTCTGTCTTCTCCTGATATGGGGGACAGCCCAGCCATGCCGTTGCTGAGACATGTTTTGACAGACGTGCTTCTGTCCGATTGCCAGTCAAGCTGACTGTTACTGTTCCATTGCAGGATTCTGTTCCCACTCACCACACTGTTTGGACTGCCTTGCGTCTTGTAGCCCACTACGTTCTTCCCCCGAGTACAACGTACGGTCATTATAGCTGTATTTGAGGCATCTTTCAGTCTAGATACAGCTATAATGACCGTATGTTGTATTCGGGGGAAGAAGGTAGCACTTGATCGCCAGATAACATTGGGTCGGCAGTCAATCTGGGAAAAACAATGTTCAAGCTCCAGCTAAGTTGCTAACGCTGTATCCCATTTGGGTGCGGAACGAGGTCCTCCCACCATCATGGAGGGAATAATACACTGATAAGTACTGCTGTAAATTCAATGATGATCTGGGAAAGGATGGTGAGTGTTATGTGCCTGATTGAAACACAATCCAGACCCAACTCACACGTTCCCATGCATGCATGCAGTTATGGAGTAGACTTGGAGAGAGCAAAACCACACCAAACCAATGATGAGATGTACACAGGGAAAGCTCGAACCAAAAATAGAACTGATTTAAATTCAATTCTCTTGGTAACCGTCCCTCCGCAATTCAATCAGCAGCACGAAACTCCAGGAATCGCAACTGTGTCAAAACAACCACGAACAAATTACAAACAGTGTTTCATTGAAGTACCTGGAGTTTTCTTCTTCCCCCCCTCCAACTACGTAATCCCTGGCTATGGCGACAGGTCAAGCCCAGCGCCCCACTAGACGAGTCTGCATACTGCCAGCAATAACTCCCCAACTAAGCTGTCCACAGACATCAGCCGGAATAGCCTGTATTCTACGAGCGCCCAATCAGTGGTAATGGTATCAGCAGTAATGGTGCCAACGCTCAGGATGAAGAAGAAGCTCCACGTCGAAGAAGAAGAACAATCAGCTGCCATGGAGAAGACAATTGGCAGCGTCCAACCCCAACAGCACAGGGGTGGCGCCACACTTCCAGCGCCTGAAGCCCGGCTTCAGCACTGTCCCTTGCTTCCAAGCACAGCCTCCAGCTACGGCCGCTCTCTCTCCCGAAGAAGATGGCTGCGCACACCAAAAATAACGCAGCAGCATGTCCCCACCACTCAAATCCAACGAAAATGGGAAAAGAACCCGACTCCACTGGACTCCAATCTATTTCTAGCCTACTGGACCTAGACCTAAGATCCATGAGCAGACACAGCGGCCTACCCAAGAAGCACTGGCACTGAACTGGGCAAGGCCTGGAGAGTGGGGACTAGGCCTGGACAGTCACGGGCAAGGCCCCAAAAGCTAACAAAATTACTAAAATGGCCCTAAGTATGTTACAGCTCCTGAAAATCTGCAAGGTCATTGCACGAGCACGACGAAGGTGCAAACACCGGCATGGCCGGGCAAGGCATGTGGCAATGGAACAGGAACAGTCAGCCCGACTGGCAACTGGACCGAAACATGTCCCGTCAATTACATGGGTTGATGTGGTGGGCAAAATATTGGCAGCAAAAGGTGGCATGAGGGGACGGAAAAAAGATCACACCCACAGAGGCAAGTAGATGCAAGCCACCAAGGGGTACCTGCTTTGTGGCTGAATGGTACACTACTACACATATAGCTGCCAATAAAACGATCATGAGTTCAAATCCTGCAAGATTCAGTAATGATAGAGCCAGCCTCCACTCCCTTCAGAGAAAACGGAAAAAAAGGCGGCGGCAGAGTTGAGCAAGAGAACCTGTGAGTCAAATCAAGCAAGAGAGACAGAATGAATTCTGATCAGGTGGTGGAAACGCCCCATCTCAGAAGTAAGGGGGTGAGGACTATTGATCAGGGATCGTGAGCAGGCCTGGCTGGAGAAAATGAAAGGCAAAGGCTGTGTGTTAAGCTGGATGGGAGTGGAAATAGGACAGCAGCACAGTAACCAGTGGGCGAATCGGACAGCTACACATAAACAAATTGACTGCTCATCTGCAAGTGGGACTCATTTCCTCCCCTCCAACAAGACAGATGGACAGATGAACGAACCGGCCGAGAGACCGACCAATCGATAAATTCGATACCAGACAGATGGATGGACAGACGGATGGCCAGACGGCTGGACGTATGTGCAGATTGGCAGACCGGCGGATTGACAAATGAACAGATGGGCATACGGATGGGTAGATAGAGTTGCCCGATGGATAGATGGATTGGCAGATGGACTGACTGAAATATGCAGCGACACTGACGAACAAACCGATGGGAGACAGACAGATCGACAGACAAACTAATCGACAGATCACCGGCACACCAATGCACAGACCAACGGATGGACGGACCTGCAGACAGACCAACCAACCAGTGGATGAACAAAGTGACATGCAGGCAGAAAAACAGAATGACGCACAGACGGCCAAGCAGACGAAAAGAGAGTATAGATGGACAGGCGAACAGACAGACAGACCGAGCAGGCACAGAGAGACGGACAGTTGCATGTCTGCTGAGAGAAGAGGTACCCCCACCCATGTGTAGGTGACATGGATGCTCTGCTGCCAACTGACAAGCATGAAGCAGAGAAGAACACAGTACCAGAATAAAGGCAGATCAGGCCTGAGCAACAGAGGGAAGAAACGTAACAAGAACAAAGAGGAAAGGTAATGATAACAGCTGTACCAATGCTGCCAGGGTGAAGAAGATGCACCACAGATACTACAGATAGCTCGAGAAGGATTTTTTTTTGAACGCCCATGTTGATGTGCCAGAGGGGGTGATATGAGCATCCCCTTCTCTGGCAGCACCTGCCGCGGGTCAATTGGTGGGGAGCAGCACCTGCTGGAAACCCGGTCCAGCGTCCCATCGACATCCACGTGAGTCCATCACCAGGGCCCTTACCCGTCTTTGTCTAGATAATCCAAAGAAAGCATACAAGGAACTACTAGCAGGCCACAAAGAAGTATGCAATAATATCGCCACTAGCCACGCAGGTAGGCTGTCTCTACAGTCTACCATAAGTGGGGCTGGGCAGTTAGGTCTACTGACGCCTGACCGTGGTAACTAAGCATCTTAAACTCTTGGCCCGACATTTTACCATGGTTCAACACAAGTATGTGTTCTATTAACCCTACCACTTCCTGCACATGGTAAACTGAGAAGGGTACAATCTTACTGTAGTAACTGTACAGCTTACCACACACTACCAGACGTAGGCCTGCTCTTAGCCCCACTATTGCCTGAGCATGGTGAAATGAGCACCTTAAACTGTTAACCCTGCACTAAAACACAGTTTACTAGTTTACCAAAGTAGTTTAAAGAAAACTCAGGATGGTACACTACGCAATGTACGCATGGTAAACTGTTAGCCCTCCAGTTTTACCACAGTTTACCATAAGCAGCAGGCCTGCAGCTAGCCCTACTGATCAACAAAAAGCTCCCGCCCAATTGACCGGTGAGGTTCAACAGACCATAACTCCTGACATTTGTGATAGTCCTCCCTTGTACAAACCCATATACTCTTCGTCGAACGTCGTCCATTCAGGACAACGCAATTACGCTTCGCATCAAACATTGGCGACGCCACATACACCACAACACAAACAAAAGACCGTTCTCACACTGATAGCTCTCTCAAGACCTCACAAAGTACACTACTTCCTCATCACTCGTCCACCGGTGAGCAGATGCTTGTCCATAACAAGTTACTAACAACAACATGCATTAAACAGACCATCCTGTTCGTTCTTTGCTCGTTGGGAAGAGGTCCGAAGAACCCATGTTTATGCCACGTGGCAGAGAAAAAGTTCGGCAGGGTGGACGGATTCTACCTCCACTTCAAGATATTTCAACCTCTCCTTCCTCATTTCCAGCCTTGCCTGAAATGAAACAACACCAACCACAACAGTTGTTCAATGTCACGTCAGAGACTCAGGTTGCCTTTAACATGAACCAAATCCAGATAGATCGGTATGGATGACACGTGCACGATTATATGTCTTGTTCTGTCTTTAATGGATGGAGACATTGGAGAGTGCATGCATTGATTGTGGATAACGTAAGGATACTGCATGCGTTATGGGTACATCATTGTGGATAATGCATGCGTTATGGGTACATCATTGTGGATAATGCATGCGTTATGGGTACGTCATTGTGGATAATGCATGCGTTATGGTTACATCATTGTGGATAACGTAAGGATAATGCATGTGTCATGCAAGATGTTTCAACCTCTCCCTCCTCACACCCTACTTTGCCACAAGACCTACAGATATTAGGGTTCACTCTACCGCCACAGTTTACATTCAAAACACGTCAGAGAATGACAAAGCTCACCACAAAAAGTGTATCCTTTCTCTCCCTCTCCTCCATCTTTCCTTTCCCCTACACCTTTGATACATACATGCCCAGTTGGCAATGTATGTACAGCCAAGGATCCGCAAGGTGATGAAAAGGACTGAATGGACAATGCAGTGTTAGTGGAATCTCAACAAGCAGTGTACACCCGTGTGAGAGGAGGAGGGGCCGCACACGAAGAAGAAAGGTCCCTCCTTGTACACACACATGGGGAGATACCATAGATGAGAGATGGGGGAGAGGAAGGACGAAGATGGATTCGAGGGAGAAGACCAAGATCGCAATAGCGAAGTCCGAAAATAGCCCCTTGCCGATGTCCAATCAATGCCTGCCTCAGAAATGTCGAATCAGATCCTGGGCAACACACCCACTGTAACCTCTGCCTGTATCCCCTGCTAGTAACCTCTCTCACTCTCGTAACTGAAGAAGAAGATAAAGAATGAGAAGAAGAGTAGAGAAGGAGGAGAGAGAGATGGTGGACGTTGAAGAGGCAGAAGCAGAACTCTCTCTCTCTCTCTCTCTCTCTCTCTCTCTC